AACCCTAAACCCTAAACCCAGATAAAATCACTGTTATACCCGTAACCCTAAACCCTAAACCCTAAACCCTTGGCCCTAGAGCTCTATAAACCCTAGGGTTTTTGAGCCTTGAAACTTTACACCCTATACTCTATACCCTAGACCCTAAACCCTAGCCACAACTCTAAACCCTAAACCCTAGCCGTAAACCCTAAAATATTTCCACAAACCGTAAACCCTAAACCCTAGCCACAAACCCTTAACCCAAAACCCTAAACACTGACAGCTAAACCCTAAACCCTAAACCCAGAGGCAAACCCTCAGCAAACACCACTGACCCGGGCTCAAACCCTAAACCCTTAAGCTCGTCAAACCCTGAGACCCGCTCACGCTGGGCGGCGAGGGTTTAGGGTTTAGGGTTTAGGGTTTAGGGTTTGCAGGAGGTTGTCCCAGGCTTTCAACTGCCTCACCACAAGCTGCTGAAGCTGCTGCTGCTGCTGCTGTTATTGTTGCTGTTGCTGCTGCTGCTGGTGTTGATGATGCTCCTTGCTCCTGCTGCTGCTGCTGCTGCTGCTGCTGCGTTTTGTGCTGCAGCGGCATCCTCAAGGCGTTGTGTGTTTGAAATTCAAACAGCCAGAAGAGGCAGAGGCAGTGATAGAGGTCAGTGTTTGCTGCTGCTGCTGCTGCTGCTGCTGCTGNTGCTGCTGCTGCTGCTGCTGCTGCTGCTGTTGCTGCTGCTGCTGCTGTTGTTGCTGGTGCTGTCTTTTGTCTCTCTCTTTTTTGACGAAGAGACATTTTTGTCTCCGCATAAAAATAATTTAATTTAACCCTAAACCCTAGACCCTAAAACCCTAAACCCTAAACGTCTAAACCCTAAACCACTAAACCCTAAAACGATATAAATATATATCTGTCGGCTGTCTCTTTTTTTCTTCTCTTTCCTTCCCTTCAACATACTCCATAAATAAACAAATAAATAAATAAATACAAAAAAGAATAAAAGACAAAACAAAAAAACTAAAATAATATATATTTTTTTCTATGCTGCAGAAGATGAAGGGGAGGCTGTTCGATGGCCGGGTGGTGGAGGCCTTCTTTTTTGACGGCGCAACAGACTTCAGAGCCAGCTGTTTACCCCCCAAAAATAAACAAGTATTTCACAAACCCTCAGGGTTTAGGGTTTAGGGTTTAGGGTTTAGGGTTTAGGGTCTAGGGTCGAGGGTTTAGGGTTTAGGGGTTGTAGGCAATTCCCTCTATTGCTATTCTATTTAAATGTATATTTATTTTTTTTCTTTGGGGCTTTGTTTGGGGCTTGCATGCACAGTATCTGCATGCACATCGCCTGCATGCACTGTGTGTTGTTATTTTTTTATTTATAGATGCAAATAGACGCAAATACTAAACCCTCAGCAG